GAGACGAAACGTTTCATTAAAGAAGAACCCGTCCAGAGGACCTATACAATTTTTTTTCCTTTAACTTTTGTTATTGACCAAATACTTACAGTATTTTCCACCATTATTTGCAAAAAAATTCTTTAAAAGTCAGACAAAATGATTTTCTCAAATTTTTTTTCACATTTTGTCTCTCATAGTTGAGGTCTACCTATGATGTCAATTACAGGCCTCTCTCATCTTTTTAAGTGGGAGAACTTGCACAATTGGTGACTGACTAAATACTTATTTTCCCCACTGTAGCTTTTCCATAACTGGTCCCAGGATCCTTAATTTAGCAGCAGTGGCAGCCAGCACGCCCTCCTCCAGTGTTAACAGAAGTAATCAGGATCAACCTGTTTCACGTGTGGTTTGGTTTTAGAGGTGTTGGTGTTCGGATGGTGGAGCCACTTTACCGGAGCCCCTCCTTCGATGGCGTCCTGCCGAGCCTGGTGTTCTTACAGGTGTTTCCTATCGCACTCTGTGAATCGTTCATCTGGAAATCTTGGATCAGTGCCTTGTTGCTTTTCTTAAAATAAAATGAGTAACTTTGTCATCGCCTGGAATTAATTTGTATATATTGGCGTCTAAGCTGTTATGAACCCATGCTGTACAGAACCTGCCCTCTGTGGTGGTGGGACATGTGCTCGGGCCTCAGCCAGGAGAACGGATCCTGGATATGTGCGCCGCACCGGGAGGAAAGACTTGCCACATAGCTGCTCTCATGAAGGATCAGGTGCAAGTTTCACTGTGTTTTAGGACTCATCACTTTTTTACAGGACTCAGTTTGGTTGCTTGTTTACCTCAGAAAAACATGAGATTTATTCATTTTATGTCTAAAATTATCTAATATTCTCCTAGAAATATATTTAAATTTACTTACATAATGATACCTGTAAAGAATAAAAAGAAACTTGCTTTTTTCTGATCTTTTCAGAGTATTTTTATCATGAATATTAATACTTTAATCAGTTATTTGAATATTTTTCAACTCCTACTTTTACTCGGTACATGTTTTACCTGATTTGTCCTGTTCCACGCAGGGAGAAGTCGTGGCCTTGGACCAAATCTCAAACAAGATCGAGCGGATTCGTCAGAACGCAGAGTTGCTGCGTTTGAAAAGTATCAAAGCGTTTTGTTTCAACAGCGTTAAGGTTGTGAGCGATGACCCATCACAGGAAACAGAAGGTACCAGACAGCATCTTTAAGCCGTCTTTTAGTGACTGGAGGAAGGTGCTAACCATCAGCTGTGTTTCTCTAAATGCTCCAGGACCTCCGTTCCCTCCTGAGAGTTTCGACCGGGTTCTGCTGGAYGCCCCCTGCAGCGGTCTCGGACAGAGGCCCAACATGTCCAACACCTGGAGCCTCAATCAGATCCGTTCCTACCCGCCACTGCAGCGCAAGCTGTTTCGTGCTGTAGGTTTTTATTTGGCACGGACAAAACACTTCCTCTCATCTTTCGTTTTACAACCATTGCTTTGACTGGCAGTGTGTCGTTTCGGCCTTTAGGTGGCAGTATTGGACAGGCAGCATGAAGCAAACAGTCACTCAACACACTTCAAATTCTTCAGTTAGTCACTCAGTTTTCTTTCTTAGGTGAACTATATACTTGCTGAGATTAATTTTTTTTTTTTTTAGGAAAACAACAAAAAAATCTATAGTTTTGGTCTTTCACTTACAGATAGGAAGTCAACGTTTGGCCGATAGATCTGGAGTACACTTCTGCAGACAAAATAAGACCGTTTTCATGCTCATTTGTTCCACATTTGATTATACTGAGCAGTAAATCAGGTTATGTTTTATCATTGCTGCATCATCGTTATTTGTTACATTGAATTATACGGGGTAAATAGCGCCACCTGCAGGGGTGAAAACAAACGTTTTTAAATTTGTAAAGGTGTTTTTCCTTCACTATCCACTAGAGGCACGCATGAGCTGCTTCCTTCAGCTCTCAATTCAGTTTTACATCAGAAAAAACGCAGACGATTAGAGGCTTCATCATCCCAAACCATCACTTTAATGTTGCATCAATACAAAGGTAATCAAAAGCTGCTTTTTGTTTTGAAAACGGTTTGCGTGTTTGTGTTACTGCAGGCGGTTCAGCTGTTAAAGAAAGGCGGGGTTTTGGTGTACAGCACCTGCACAGTGACTCTGGCGGAGAACGAGGAGCAGGTAGCCTGGGCCCTCGAGACCTTCCCTTCCCTCACGCTGCAGCCGCAGGTATGAGAGAGAGAGGGAGGGGGGTAATGCTAACAAACTGCACCCCCAGAATTAAAAATATATTGAATATTGTTTCTGTCTTCCTCAGGAGCCTCACGTGGGTGCAGAGGGCATGCTGGGAGCCGGCCTGTCAGCTGAGCAGCTGCGCCTCCTCCAGAGGTTCAGACCTGAGCTGAGCTGGGAGCAGACAGACCCCGCGGCTCCCCTCGCCTGCAGAGCCGACGGGGACACTATTGGCTTTTTTATCGCCAAGTTCCTGAAAAACTGACCCGAAGGGCGCGTTTTCCTCGACRCCGTCCCCACTTCCACATGAGACGGGACATGTAGCGTTTATGTCACAACCGGCGTCTCCCTCCTGTTTACAGCTCCTGCCTCTTAACAGCTGCTCTGTGAGACTGCAGGCCATATAGGGATAAGCTTTATGAAGACCACTGGGGGGGGTGGAGACAGAGTGAGTGCTGGTGAATGCAGCGGTGCTTCAGGTCGTCATAACAACAGTGACGACACAGCTGCCATGGTGACGGCGGATTCGCAGGATTTGGGAGAGGAGAGATCAGGAAGTTGCGTTGCAGAAAGAGGTCACAAGAGGTATTAACAATTTAGAGTGTTTAGCAGAGCTGGAAACAACCGGGGACGTCTTGATGATCACATCTGATTCTGGTGTTAAAAATCACAGTGATCAGCAGAGGGAGGCCRCACTGTTTTCATTTAAAATCTTTTTTTTTTTGTCACCTCTGTGTGTAAACACCATTCTGAATAAAAATGACCTGAAATCTCTTTATTTTATAAAATGAATGAGATTTAATTACAGCTTTCTAAAATACTCTTGTTTGTCATCAAATAAAACTTCTCCCATATAAAAAGTTTATTTCTACTTTGAGTTTATGGACAATAAATACAAAATAAAACCAACTTTTTAGGAAATTAGATGATTAAAAAGTACTTTAGCAATCTTAATTTAAAACAAAGTGAATATGGAGTGAAAATGTAGAATTTTAATGTGTGTTTTGTGTTTAATAGTATATCAAACCGTTATTTTTAGAGAGGAACAAAGTGCAACCAACACTTTGAAACCTCATTCATGTGATTCTTACAAAAGCTCAATAAATGGATTTAAGCTGGACTATAAATTTATGTAATGTGCAGCACTTTTCAATTTCACGTGAACTCAGTTCTGGTTTTCTCTGACCCTCATCAAATTGTTATGAGCCGTCAGACACGTATTGCCAGTGGTAGGCACTAATTAAACTAATTTCCTGATTAGTGCTTTAGGGCTTTTGCTAATTTTAAAATTTATTAGTGGATTAGCAATTGCTAAATTTAAAAGCATTAACAGAGGTCTATAAATGTTCTTGATCAACATTAATATTAACAGCTGAGAGTTAAAGCTGTCACATTTTGTTCATATATGTGTCACTTATCCACCAGGTGACATATTGACAATACAGGTCCTTCTCAAAAAATTAGCATATTGTGATAAAAGTTCATTATTTTCTGTAATGTACTGATAAACATTAAACTTTCATATATTTTAGATTCATTGCACTCCAACTGAAGTAGTTCAA